TGTTTGAGATGCCTCTGGACATCCATCTGGAGATGGTGAGTCGGCAGAAGTGAGGTAGCACTAGAGATATAAACTTGCTATCACTAATACATCGGTGTTGTTAAGCCATAAATATGAATAAAGCCATGTATACAGCATGTGTAGATAGAGACGAGAACCCAAGACCGATCCCTTGGACAATCCAAAATACAGATGTCAAACAAAAGAGGAAGAGCTAACAAGGGAGACTGAGAAGGAACAATGAGAGGTGAGAAAATAAAACCATTCAAGTATAGTGTCCCAGAAGCTAAATGAAGACACTGGTCAAGAAAAACTAAGAGTTTGTTAAGTCAGATACTAATAAGTAATCATAAGAAGACAGAAAACTGATAATTGGGCTTGGTAACATAAAAGCCATTGGCAACTTAAACAAAGGAAGACGTAGAAAGGAGTCATGAAGACAGAAACTTGAGACAATTTGCTGCAAAGGGAGTAAATGAGCTGAAGCTAGAAGGAGAGGTGCTCTTAAGGAATACAAAAAAGACCAAAGACACATAGGGCAAGGTCTCCCTCCATGCTATTATCCAGATTCTCTTCTCCAAATACGACCACAGCTTCAGTTTTTCCTATTGTCATAGTGATATGATATGAGGGAGACAGGCAGTTAGGTAGGTAGGGAGGGAAGTAGATCGGTAGACACAAACACATGTACATTTTTATTGGGATTTAGAGCCTCTGGTACGTAGGTAGCTGGCACTAGGCCCATTAATGGGACTCCGTAGGCATGTAAACTCACAGCAAGACTTCTGGGACAAACATAGTCTGCATCTTGAGAGCTGATTCCAGGAGCTCAGATAGCAAGTCAGAAAGTGGCACTGTTAACCAAAAAACCAGGGGTTTGGGCTAGGTCCTGCTGCTTGGGACACAGAAAGTCAACCACTGAGATGACGATTATTGTCTAGAAAGAAGGCTTTAACTGAGTGTTGTAGCTGAGGAGATGAAAGCTCAGCCTCAAATCCATCTCCCTAACTGACTACAACTAGGGGTTTATATAACAAGAGAGAAATGTAACAATGTGTAAGAAAACAGGAACTACTCTTTTTTGTTTTTTGAGAGGCCTGAGGGTTCTTTCCTGAGGAAGGAGCTCAGATAAAACAAATACAAGTTTCAAGCTTTAACAGCAGAAGGGGCTGGGCGCAGTGGCTCACCCCTGTAATCTCAGCACTTTGGGAGGCCAAGGCAGGAGGATCACTTGAGGTCAGGAGTTTGAGACCAGCCTGACCAACATGGAGAAGCCCAGTCTCTACTAAAAATACAAAATTAGCCAGGTGTGGTGGCACGTGCCTGTAATCCCAGCTACTCAAGAGGCTGTGGCAGGAGAATCACTTGAATCTGGGAGGCGGAGTTTGCGGTGAGCCGGGATTGTGCCATCGAACTCCAGCCTGGGCAACAAGAGTGAAACTCCATCTCAAAAAACAAAAACAAAAAACAAAACAAAACAAAAAAAACAGAAGAACGGTCAATTTCTATGTTTATCCAAAAACAAGTCTATGAGACTATTCGGCCCATTTCAGCAGTAGAGGTCAGATATCCCCATGCCCTAGGCATTACCAGGATGGGGAGACTGCCTGGACCCTGGGAAGATCTATTTCTCCAAAATACTGTGAGAACTTAGTCTAAGCCAAATCTAACCTGATGGCCTGAGCTAAGGTCTGCACTTTGGCCCTCATTTTCAGGGATCTCGATCTCTGAGCTCACAAGATATTTATCCTGGTGACACCCTAGTGAAATCAATGACACTGTAATTCCCATTATCTAGCACAGTGTGGCTGCTTAATCAATGCTCATTTATTTAGAAATAAATGAATAAATAAATGAAGGAATATAGCCAGTTTTATTGCTTAGTACCTTTTACTATCTTATATAGATTCAGCTTTCCTGGTGTCAGTATTGTAGTAAGTAATGTTCTTTGTGTGAGTATGAAATAGCCGATGTGCATCCTGCAAGGGCTCAGGTATGCCAAAGAAATGGATTACAAGGCTGCTTCCTGGAGCTTTCTCCAGCCAAAAAAATAAAAATAGCCGTATAAGAACATATTATTTTCCCTTTCTATAGGCCTCCAACTGCTAGGCATAAATTTCTTTGCAAACTTTCCAGAAAACCTTACCCTTGGACTAAGATCAAGAAAAGAAACCTCAGGCTTTTCTCAGAGAAAATGCAAATAAGATTTGACTGAAGTCTTATGATTACCTGGCCCCAGGCCTGAGGGGCTGTGTCTTGGCACCGCCAGTGGAAGCCCAGGAAGATGGGAGCTTGCTGAAAACTGCTTCTGGCAGAAAGACAATCATGAAGCTTTTTTCCCCTAGGCTGTCATGCCAACTCACAAATTCCTGAACTTAAACATACACAAACACAATCCTCATAAGACTCTTGACTCTTTCCTCATATCAGTCACTCCTTACTGTTTGTTGAGACCCTGATTGCATTACTTTAAGGGAAAAAAATTGGCTTCCTTTTCTCAGGACACAAAACCAAGCATAATATACAATTGTGGTCACCAAGATGGTAAGGCATGAATTTTGAGTCTTCCTAAATATTGAATATGGCAACAATTTTAAAGCAACACTTTAAAATTGAGTCTGACCCCAAACTATTCTGACTCAGTGCATAAATGGCCCCACTAGGCTTCTTTTATAAAGACATAAAATCAACCTAAATGCCCATCAACGATGGATAAAGAAAATGTGGTGCATATATACCATGGAATACTATACAGCCATAAAAAACAATGAGATCATGTTCCTTGCAGGAACATGGATGGAGCTGGAGGCCGTTATTTTTGGTAAACTAACACAGAAACAGAAAAACATATACTGCATATTCCCACTTACAAGTGGGAGCTAAATGATGAGAACACGTGGACACATAGAGGCTTATTGGAGGGTGGAGGGTGGGAGGAAGGAGAGGATCAGGAAAAATAACTAATGGACTAGGCTTAATACATGGGTGATGAAATAGTCTCTGTACAACAAACCTCCATGACACAAGTTTACCTATGTAACAAACGTGCACTTGGTACCCCTGAACTTCAAAGTTAAACAAAAAAGTATCTGTACTGGGTATCTGTAAGAAGAAAGCTGATGGTTGAAAAGGCAGAAATTGGCATTTTGAGGTTTTCTGGACTATCTGTGATACACACTGCTGCTTTGCTGCCTTTCAATGCATTCCTCACCATGCACCAAAGGAATCTTTTAAAGTACAAATCTGATCATGTTACACACAGACTCCCACAAAGTCTACATGGCTTGGCATGGTGTAGTCTCTGTGCATGTTTCCTATTTCATTGCTTACCTTTGGCTCCAGCTACATAAGCTTTGCTCAGTTCCTTCAATCTGTCCTTCTCCCTTCTACCATGTCCTTGCACATCCTCTTACATCTGCCTCCAATTCCACCTGATTAAGTTTTACACTTCTTTATGATTGTTGCTAATTTTTACCTCTCCAGGAAAGCTTTTGCCAACTTCTATGAACTGGGTGACTTCTCTATTTTTCCATTCTTTGCTACTTTAACACTCATTGACATTTATTCTAACATTAAACTATAAGTTCTGTAAGGATAGGGATGTATTTTCAAGTGTTTAGAGCAATGCCAACGCTTAGATATTCAAGAACTACTTGTTCAGTTAAGAAAAACACACCCTAAGGACAGTGACCAAGACACTACAAACAACATGTCTTCTGTTGCTGGGATTCCCTAGGATTTTTGCCATACATCTTTTTATACAACTTCTGGGAAACAGGAGGAAGAAAATATTATTTGGGAGAGCAGATCTATTAAAAAAAAAGAACTTTTCACATAGTCATCAAATGGAGATAGAAAGCAGGTCTCTAATGCTTTGAAACATTTTTTTCCCTTGACTGTGATGCAAATAAGTTTCCACTTCTTGCAGCTTAATTTAGCTTAATGAAACATAATAAATGTTTTCTGCGGACCTTTTTTTGTGGCAAGTATTGTGATGGTAGCTGTAGAGTATACAAAACTGAGTAAAACACAATCTTGGCCCTTAACAGTTCGTAGCCTGGAAGGATAGTCTAAAAATACACAAATAGTAGAGGAATATGTTAAAACAATGCTGTGAAAGATCTAGGGAGGGAAGGATTTCCTGGACCACCCTATTCCCGCATCTTCCCAGGGTGGGGACCTGTTGTTTTTCAGGGGCCATGTAGTCCAAGTTATGCAAGTGAAGAAGTCACTACAGACAGTGCATTTTCTCTCGCAGCTTTAGGTCTATTTATAGTCCAGTTCCTGGGGTAAGAATAGCTTATTAAAACATTGTATTATTTGATGCATAAGACAGTTTGTATATATAGCTAATGATTCTATTAAAATGTATGAATGAATAGCTTTTCAAAATCTACCATTTGATAAAGTGTCAATTCTACAGTAATCAAAAGCTAAGAAAAGGAAGTAGAAGTTCATTACCTAGATATTTCCATAAAAAACAATCAGGTGTATAATTCAGCTAGAGAATTTATTAGTTTTAAAGACTCTTGCCGTAAAGTAAAACAAGAAATGTGAGAATACAAGCTTTCAAATGTTTCCGAAGCAGTTTCAAAGTTCCTGAATACATATTTTATTTACTGAGTAGCACCTATATGCATAGAATTCAGATAAGCATTGTGGGAAATCTCAGGAAATACAAGTTTAACAACAACAATACAAAAGCCACATAGTAGTAGAAGAGAATTGGACTTAAGTTATGTGTCCAATGAGTACTGCAAATTTTAAGTGCCATATCAAGAAGGGAGATCTCACAGAAGGGGCTTTGAAGCCACTGAGTTGAGGTCTGAAATAACAATGCCAGCTAACAATCTTTATATATACATATGTGTGTGTGTGTGTGTATGTGTGTGTGTATATATATACATATATATACACACATTTTAGAGATAGGGGTTTGCCACGTTGGTCCAGCCTGTTCTTGAACTCCTGGGTTCAAGCAATCTGCCCACCTTGGGCTACCAAAGTGCTGGGATTATAGGCATGAGCCACCATGCCCAGTCTCTAGCTAACACTCTTATAAGCACTTATTATTCAGGCATTCTGCTGGTCATTGATGTGTGTTTCAACCCTCACAGTGACTTACACACTGTTAAGTAACAGAAACCTAACTGAAATGAGAGAGTTCCTTCACCCTCTTATGGGACTTGCAACAGAGGTGTGGCTTGTTCGCTTGGCCACTGCACACTCAAACCCCTTAAGGGAGGGGGAGCATGCAGACAGGCAGGTGCAGGAGACGGGATGAGTGCTTTTGGGCTCTAGCCCCATGGTGGCATCTAGGGGTGTGTTACAATTAATGCTCTTTTAGCAGTTACTGTCCGTGGATGGCTAAGTGTTAAACCAGCTCAGTGAAGAGTTAGGGTGACAGCCTTTTACATCCTGTCGTCTTGGTACCCAGGTCTTTGTCTGGCAGCCAGGAAGAATCAGGTCCTACAGACTTGAAGGAGGGTGAATACAGAGATTTTATTGAATGATGGAGGTGGCTCTCAGCAGGATGGATGGGAAGCTGGAAAGAGGATGGAGTGAGAAAACAACCTTCCCCTGGAGTTTGGCCATCCCACGAATGATCTCTCTTGACAGTCCCCAGCTGAACTCCTCGATGTTCAGACACTCTTTCTCCTCTCTCCTTCTCTGCCACACTGCTTTGCTGCTCTTCTGCTCATGGAGCCTGAGGTTTGGAGTTTTTATGGGTACAGGGTGGGGGTGTGGCAGGCCAGGGTGGTCTTGGAAAAGGCAACATTTGGCACTAAAACAGGAATGCCTGTTCCTATTTAGGGCTGTAGGTTTCCAGGCTAGAGGATAGGGCCTTTGCCAGGGAACCACTCTCTTTTAACCAGTATTTCCCTGCCTCTTGTCCATATCATAACCTCAGTGGCATAATGAAGTAAAGGCTCATCCTACCTCGCATAGTAAGGTTCAGGAGTAGGCAGCCTGGGGCTGATACAAATGCTTGAGAAATCATCAAGTTTCCAGCTTCCTCTAACCTTCAGCTGCATCATGCTCCGTGGGTGTTTTTTAGCCCCATGGTTATAAAATGAGTGGTCCACTTAAGGCATTGCACTGGCATCCCAGTAGAAAGACAACAAAAGCAACAAGTGCAAATAAATGGAAAGAAACACTTTCCTAAGACTTTCTAGCAGACTTCAGATTTCCACTCCATCCCGTTGGTTAGAACTATATCACATGGACACCCAGTGGCATAACTGGTTGAGAAATGAAGGCTTTTTGTTTTTCTTTCATCTGACAACATAGCTGCCTAAAAAGCTATGGAGTTGGATATTGGTGAAGAAGGAAGGAAATGGACATCAAATAGACATTTAGCAGTGCCACCTCAGATAGGTACTACTATTATTCTCATTTTGCATGAGGAAACCTAGACATTGAGAGTTAAGTAACCTGCACAAGGTCATCTAGTTAATATGTAGAAAAGCTGGATACAAACACAGGCAACCTGATTTCCAGAGCCTGAACTTTTAACTCTGTGCTAGGATTTGAATCTGAGAGGAGAGGGAAAGGCAATTTGTGACAGGAAGATAGTGTTAACAAAGGTGCAGTGCGTGTGTGCATGTGCGCGTGTGCGCTTGTGTATGTGTGTACACGTGCATGCATGTATGTTGGAACCCTAGATGCTGATCATGTGTGAGAGAGGCCCTGAGGCTGAAATAAAGGAGCCACCCTGAGTAGTGGAGAGAAGTCAGGAGGGAAGGTGATTTGGATTTATACCGTCTGCCGGGGTAAACCTTCAGGAACATGAACTGCGTCGGTCCTGAAATTGAAATAATGACAATATATAGGCAAATATTGGCAAGAATGAATGAGGAGATGTTAAATATGAGCAGAGCCAGAACCCAGGGTGTGGTAAATCAAGCAAAACATCCTAAGAAGCAGTAGCCAAGGTTAGGTCCAGGATGTTCTGCAGTCCAGATGTGTCCAGCAGTCAAAGATATATGAGCTGGAAGCCAGGGTCTGATGGTTCGGAGTTAGAGTTGGGGAATTAGAATCTTGGAATATTACATACCTAGGTTCTTGATTGTTTTATGGCAGTACATCCCAGCACTTTAGGAATATTATTGGCACATTATTTAGCACTAGTTCTTAACCCTTAAACACTGTAACATTTAAGAGGATAAGATGACCCCAGACTATGAGAGCGCCAAAGAAACAGATGTTTTCCATGGAAACATGTTTACTTTCAAATATTAGCTTTACTTTTGTTATCTCACAGGGTAAGTGGAGTGGGAACACACAAAAATAGGTAGAATTAAAACGGAAGGAGCTGTGCAAAGTGATGAAGCACATCAGCTTTGGATTATATATTTTTCAGTGTCGTTGTTAGTACAGAGCTTGCACCATGAGATGGCAGATTAGTGTAAGGAGACCATTACTTAGAATATGTGGGGCTCAGCAAGAGAACATGGCCACACTTTGAGTGGTGGGCTTTCTGACTTGGTAGTGTTCAAACAGAGGCTAGAAGATTGTTGAGGAGAGAGATTTCAAATTGCTTTTTGGATAAAGTTTGACTAAAATGACTTCAAATTTGCATTTCATAATTGTACAGTATGCCCATCCGAAATCGATCAGAATTGTAATCTCCAAAAAGCAACCTGAATCTGCAAAGTCTTTCCTATTGCTTGCAGACTCAGCAGCCCTGAGTCTGCTGCTAGGCAAGTAGTAGGAAAGGCTGTGTAGAGCCTTTGTCCTCCTCACTCAAGTTTCTTCTTTGTGCAGTTGAAAAAGCCTAGCAAATGAGGTCTTTTGAAGAATAGTTATAATGACTATTCTCCAGCAACCACGAGAATGGAATTCAACTTAAGGTGTTATGCATTTATTCAAATGTACCAAGCCTCAGTATGCATGTGTCTAGCCTTTATATACATACATATATAAATGTGTGTGTGTATATATATATACATATTTGTATGTACATACACACATATCCACATTTATGATGAAAAATAAATTCATGTTTATTGTTGCAGTTAAACTCTGAAGCTCCGAAACCATTGGGTTTGAATCCCAGCTCCTCTATCTTCTAGCTGTGAATATAGATCAAGTTACTTAACATCTTTGTACTTATTTTCTCACAAGGTAATGACTATCGTGATGATTAAATGTGCTATTTATTACCTACAAAATACTTAAAATGACTGGTATATAGTAAACATCCAATAAATGATAGCTATTATTATTCTAGACTTTCTAGAAAACACATAAAAATACAAAGAAGAACTAAAAATCATGTTTATTCTGAAGGAGGACCACTGTTAATTCTGAGCATATCTTCCCAGTCTTTGTTCATGTGCTTGTCTTCTGTTTACTCTCACTCTGGAGTCATGCTCCAGGGCCTAGGTTTCCAATGCACATGAATGCACACGTACACATGCACATACACAGAAATATACCTGCACATATGTTTTATGTTTCTTGTAAAGGTTAGAATATGTGCCTTAATGATCAGTATAGGGGAAAGGGGGAAAACTTCCCCTTTGTCCTCCAAAGATTGCTGAAAATCACTGACAAGAGGCATATTAATAGGAGAAAAGGAATATACATTTATTAATGTGTACATGGGAGCCTTTAAAATTAAGACCCAAAAATACAGGGGAAATTGTCCATTTTTATGTTTAGGTTTAGCAAAGTATGGACAGCATGTAGAAATATTATTGGACAAAAAATATGATCTAATGTTACTAGACTGAGTGGGGAAACTCAGGTCTGTCTGTTTAGATTTTTCTTTGTCTCTCTGAGCATGTATTCCTTTCTTTGGATATGGCATAGGGCCCTCTCTGGAATGGGGGTCTTGTGACCTATAATCAAAAAAGATAAATCTAGTTATCTAATTTTTTAGTGGCCAGTTTTTGTGCAGTTATAGTGGAGGGACAGTCAGAGTAAAATTTTTAAATTTTATGGCTGGCTTTGGGTAAAGGGGTTTTAGTTTCTATGACCCACCTCGAGTGAGAAAGATTCTAGTTTCTATGGCTAGCCTTGAGAGAGAATGGGACTGAGAGATAGTAGAGTAGGAGAAGGTCAGAGAAAAATTTCTGTTTTGAGGCTGCTTCTGCAGCCTTCATTTTGGATATGTTTTTCTGAGTCACAACATTAGATAATCCTCGACAAATATGTATTCATGACTAAGTTATGCCCTAGAAGGTCACGGCTTTTTTTTAACAGTGATAACTCTTAAATGATGATTGAGTCATTTTTCATAGAGAATAAATATTTTGCCATTTTTTCATTAATTCTCTGATCAGCGAAAGTATATATTCTAAATTTGATTGCTTTGTTTAAATATTTATATGTTTCTGTTACATAAACATACAAAACTGTAAAATAAAAATGAATGTCTTATTTACAAAATCTGTGCTTCAAGTAGAAAGGGTAAGTGAGTATACACATTACAGACCATTCATAGAATAAAATAATGTGCATTTAAAAAAGAATGAGGTAAGTCTATACACACTAACACAGAAGAATGTCTATGACCCGGAAAGATGTCCATGATGCTTAAATTAAAAGCACTGTGGAACAATAAATAGAGAATGATCATCTTTATTTATACCTGTGTTTAAAAAAATTTTTTTTGTAGCTCATCAGCTATTGTTAGTGTTAGTGTATTTTATGTGTGGCTCAAGACAATTCTTTCAATGTGGTCTAGGGAAGCCAAAAGATTGGACACCCCTGGTCTAGGCAGTGCTGTGGTCAGGTTTGCTGAGTATTCTGTAGGTGGAATGTAAAATCCAAGATAATGCCTGATGGAAAGTGCACCAACCTGATACTGATCCTATCTCCAGGCTGGGTTCAATGCTCCTGTCTTCATTTCCAAGTTTCCAACAGAATCTTGTGCTTACACTCATCCTACAGGGGATCAAGCTTTACACTTTGCTTTTTCTACTTACTTGTCTCTCTACACTATTAGATTTTGAGGTCCCTGAAAATAAGAAATACCATTTTTTGGTTTTTATTTTTAAATCTCTATAGTCCCAACATTTAGCATTGTGCCTAACATAAGCAGCCAACGAATGTTCATTTGATTTGTTTGATTTAATATAAAATTTTGTATAATACCCAGTTGATGTTTGTTTGGAAATTCTGTATCTTTCTTTCTTCTTTCTTTCTTTCTTCTTTCTTTCTTTCTTTCTTTTCCTGTTATTCTTTCTTTGTTCTATTCTTTCTTTCTGTCTCTGGTCTTATCTTTCTTTCTTTTCTTCCTCTCTTCTTTCTCTTTCTTCTTCTTCTTTCTTTTCAATTCTTTCCTTTCCTTCCTCTTTCTTTCTTTCTTTCTTTCTTGTCTTTCTTTCCTTCTTCTTCTTCTTTCTTTTCTTTCTTTCTTTTCTTTTTCTTTTTTTCTCTCTCTCTCTCCCTCTCTCGTCCCCTCCCGATCTTATCTTTCTTTCTCTTTCTTTCTTTCTTTTTTTTCCCTTCCTCTCCCTCCCTCACCTTTTCCCTTTCCTTCCCTCCTTCCTTCTTCCTTCTTCCTTTCCTCTCTTCCTTCCTTCCTTCCTTCCTTCCTCCTTCCTCTCTTTCTGATGAGTTCTCTGGCATCCAGGCGAGTCAAGGGCATGATCTCTGCTCACTGCAAACTT